CAATACCTTTGAGCTCAACAAATGCTTGCTCCTGATTTTGCCTCAAAAGCGTTAAATTCTGCACGAGAGGTTTTTGTAACAAATACCGTTAAGCCAATAATGACTTGGGGAAAAGATCTTGGCACCAAAGGATTTTTATATTAGTCCTTATGCATTCAGAATGCTCTCTAATATGTTTGAATACTTCATCAGATGAACTAGAAGGGAAATAGGGATTATTTAACCTAATGTATATAGCCAATTCTACTTCTTTTATTTTAGGACCCAATAGATGTCTTTTAAAATTTATTGATCTGTTTTGTTCATGATGCCTCTGTATTCTATCTTTTTACTGGCTTGAAAAAACTTATGTTCTCACACTTGTGCCATTTCTATTGTCACAATTTGATTAATAGCATAGAACAAATTTACTTTGTGTTCCTTATATATAGTTACTTTTGTCTAGCATAGGGACAGGGCACTTAAACAGTGTGGATCGTTAAAGGATGGTGTGGAGCAAGGAGTAGTTACAAGGCACTTAATATTTTTGTCTTTTTGGGGATATGTAGTATGCGTATACAATTACAATGCACAATGAAGTCTCGGTATATATATGTAATGACTTTTAGTAATATGATATAGTTTGATAATATTCGGCTTGAGAAATTCTTTTGGTGTTTGTCAAGCATTATTGGTTGCTTGTTAATATTGCATAGTTAATTGATATGAATATCTCTATATGAATTTTTAGAGAATGTAGGTTCCTACGGTATGAAAATGTATATAATTTTTTGGTTTGTTATAATTGCTGAGAAAATAACTTTTAGTGGCGACATATAGTTTTGTCAAAAAATTAGTAATTGTTGCGATAATTTAAGTTGCCACAAAGAATGTCAATTTCTTTTGCAGGCGACTTTAGTCGCTACAAAAATATTATGTGTCTTTCATGGTTAAACCTTTTGTCGCACTTTTAGTCGCTACTAAATGACATTGTATAGTGGCGACATAATCTTGCCACTGAATATATAATAATGGTTTTGTGGCAATTTTAGTCGCTACTAAAGAACATTTTATAGTGGCGACATAACTTGCCACTGAAAATAAATATTTTTTGTGGCATATTTAGTCGCCTACTAAAGGACATTAATAGTGGCGACGCATCTAATATTTGTTCTTATGGAACAATTTTGTAGCGTTTTCCAATCTTTTGTGGCATACTATGTCGCCACAAAGATATGGTTTTTTAGTGACGAGACTACAAACGCGCCCAACAAATAACTCACGGGTTTCCTTGTGGCAATACAACAAGTTCGCCACTAAATACCTTTTAGCAGCTGAGACTCTCAGGGATTTTGTGGCGACTTTCGTCGCCTACAGATATAGGGGTGATTTCTTGTAGTGTCACAAGCATGGAAAAGAATGATGGTCAATAAGAAAGAAAGAGCAGAAAAAGTAATCCAATGGAAGCTCCATAATGGGAAATGTAGTTTCTGGTGGGACAACTGGCTTGGCTCTGGCCACTTTGGCACTCAGCAGCAACTGAAGGGTGAGAAGAGCCTACTGCAACACACCTCAGTGTCCAATTCTGGAATGAAGGTACTGGGGATCTCCAAAAGTTCAATAGAACTGGCAACCAACTCACAAATATCAGAGATGCATGCAGACACCTCACTATATTACAACCCTGAATCTCCCTGATAAACCTATCTGGACGCCTACTGTGCAGGGGTAGGTTTCTTGTACCTTTGCATGGGATTCCATCAGAGAAGAAAAAACCACCCACTTGCACAAATAGGAGGATCTGGCATAAGAAAGAATTCCCTTTTAAGTGGGTCCTTTATTTGTGGAGAGCCTTAGAAACAATGCCCAACTGATGACAGAGTGCAAATCTTTAGTGGTCCAACTGTCACCAAGGTGTGTATGCTGTTCTATTGCATGCTTGGAAACATACAGTGAACACCTCTTCAGTTCTAGAACTTTGCTAAGATCATATGGAAAAAATATGGGGGTCAGTGGGGATATCCAAAACTGAGAACCTGCCTTTGAGTTGCCACTTATGAAGTGGTGGATAATGAAGGCTTGTAATTTTGTGCAAAAGCTCATTTTAGATACCCTCTCCCATCATCATTGTTTGGAATTTGTGGAAAAATAGATATAGTGCCAAGTATGGAGATAAATAGGCGTCCTTTATTCCATCAACTTAAACATCAAACCTACTCTTAAGGTCCAATTTTCCTGACATCCAATCTGGGCCTTTCAACTGGGGGGAACTCTACCCTTCCATTTGAAACATTGCTAGGCATCAACTACTAACCCAAGTCAAATGGATTTAAACCAGACAAGGGCTTTGTAAAGGTCAATTCGTATGGAAGTGCTTTGACCAAATCCTGGAAAGATTAAAGTATGTGGAGGCGGTGTCATCATTAGTAGATTCAACAGGGCCACTTCATTCATGGCAATGGCCTTTCCTTTGGGGGAGGGTACGAACATATTATGCTGAAACTGAGCAGCCAGGATAGGAGTTCAATGGTGCTTAGACAATGGAATTCCCAGAGTTCATTAGAAGCAGATTCTGCACTTCTTGTTAGGTGGCTGTCAGAGGATAATGATTGTCCATGGATTTATGAAGAAAAGATTTCCCACATAAGGCTTCTGTGCTCTTCAATTTGAGGATTCAAAGTTTCTCATGTGTATGAGATGCATAAATAGCTCCCTGCTGATTTCCCTATCTAAAACTCACCATGACCTCAGAGCATTCAACAAACTTTCACTCATACTAGCTTCCTCTTCTCCAACTCACCATTAGAGGTCAAGTTCTCCATGACCAATTGGGTACCCCAGCTTTCAGGCACAAGAAAACCAACATGCTGATAGTATCGCTCTCAAAATGCAAGCTCCTCGTTCAACATCTAATGGTTATGGTTGAAACATCATCAAAGCAGGAGGGTGTCCAGTGTAGCAGTCCAATATGAAATACCATCATGCACCATTTTTGGAATCAGTCAGCCAAGACTTATACTTTCTAATTCTATGTGCTTTTTTGCAGGTTCCATTCCCTTATGAACCTTACATTCCTTTGTGGCTGATTTCAGGGAGTGGTATTAGCATACATGTTCACCCTATGAAACCACAACATAGGAATGAAGTAGGATATACAGGGAACGAGGGAAATGACTCACTTGGAAAACCTACCATCTGAGCACAATACAGCACACACATATACACACACCTCAATCTCATAAAGCAACACCCCAATTCTTCTCCATCACCACTCAAGACCACCAGATATAACCATATACCCACATCCCCTTGACCAAACAGATAGGAGCAACCCAGAAGATATGCAAACCCCTCTCAAACACAAGCAGTTCCAAAAAACTGAGCAGAAATGCTCCTTTTTTCACTAATACTGCTTTCTGTTTTGCAGGTTTGCTCCCTTCATGCTCTCCCTTTTCAAAATGGTATACGTTTGGGAGTGGTATAGCATTTTCCATGCTCCATTCTCCTGGAAACATACCATTTGACTACCCCCCTCCCCAATCAGCCTCATAGAAGCAGCATCACACAGCTGGCAGCAGAAATTGCAGAACTGCAGAAAGCTGCAGAATCCACCTGCAGAAACTGCAGAAATTGCAAACATTCCTAAAAACTTAGGAGCAGCTCCCTCTCTTGTCACTCAATTGGTATGGATTCTGGATGGTATTAACATCCCTGAGGGTTCAATCTCCTAGAACTAAACCAGTTGATAACCAATCAACATCCCCACAGAAATGCCATCACACAGTTACATCAGCAACAAACAACAACAACCCTCTGATATTGCAGAAACTACAGGAATTCCTTTACCTTTTTCTGTATATTGCATCAGCCCACTCCTCTTCATCCACACTCACTCTCAACCCAAAGAACCACAACAACCAAAAGTATCATCATCAGTACTGCTTTTTCCTCTATAACATGCAATCATGGTTCTTTATTCAAGATTCTTACACCATGAGCACCTATACACCTGAGTGCAGTCAACACAAGAACCTGCACTCAGCTTTTGTGTATAGATTAGGGCAATCCCAATTGCTCCCCTTTCCCCATAACTCATCTCCAGAATCCACAAGAACCTGTAGATTTAGCCCCCTTTTCATTAACAGGTTTTTTTGCATTTTGTAGGTTCAGGGAGCTCACTTGATCAACTGGGTATAGGTTTCTGTCAGTGGTATCAAACATTTCCAATGCTCCATTCTGCTTGAAACTATTATCAGTTGAGCCAAGTCTCTCCTTTCATCTACACACACACATATATGCAGATCCAACAACCACAGCTACAAACCAACACTATCACCCAGTCAACCCATGCAGGAACAAACTGTGCATAATAAAGGAGTTCCCTTATGCATCAAGATGTTCTACATGCTCAGCACTCACAGACTGGGATTTCTACATCAGGAAAAGGCTCAATTTTGGCCCACTCTCTTCTGTCAATTATACCTGGCAGCAGCAGCACAGCTCATCTCCACCGAAGAATTTTTTGTCAACTATCTTCCATTTGGCTTTCCTTGACTCAATGTCAAAGCTAAGTGGAAGATAGTCCCTCTCTTTTGATGTGGTTTATGTACCACCCTTCATAGACTTTTTCTACATGTGTAATGTATGTAGTTACATGTTTGTACATGGAAGAAAACATTACTATCCTTTTGCTTAGCTCACATAGGTTTTACTTATGCTTTTGTGTTATAGTTGACCATAGGCTTACCAAAACTTGTATTTTGTACCACCAATTGGCTATCATTGTTGGATAAAAAACAATTTGTTCCTTCTTACAGGTCTAAAAATACCATAGTGTTTCAGTGCCACTTGGTTTCCATATGTGGACTGACAAGTGCATTTTCATTTTATATGTGGAGGTAAGGTTCAGGGTCCCCCTCCAACTTTTGCTGTTATTATATTTCTTATCTAATAAAATCAACCCTAGGGACAATGCCTAGTGGATTCAGTTAAAAAAAAAAGATTCTGAACTTGAAGGCACACTAGGGATCCTCAGATTGACTCTTGGGAGGGCTAATCACTCTTTGTCGTTGTGATACGGCATATTGTGCAACTGTGCTTTCTTTGCTTCCAGATGACAACTCTGCTTCTTCCTCAGTTATTTTCTTCAATAACCAATCTGCTCAAAAAAGGAAATTCAAGTTCAATGAATATAAAAATAATTTTCAGAAAAAAAAGGATGCACACAACAGAATGAGAATACTTCGCAGCCAAAGGAAATCGGATAAGATATTTTTTTCTCTAGAGCTTCTTTTATCATTTATAGAAGGATGAATAATTTGTTTTGAACCTTGCCTCGCATAAAGTCTTATTTTCTATTTCAATCCAACAACCCAAGATTATAGAAATACATACCACATCTGTCATTTGATTCTCTGGCCAAGCTCCAGACAAAGATTAACGAATGGTATTAACCGGTTAAGGAGGAAGGTCTTGAAGCTCGACTGATTAGAGATAGGTCTTGATAAGGACCGTAAGCATTATAGATCATGGTCCTGGGAACAAGAGTCAGAGTTCAACCTACTTGAAAGCGGTCTTTAGCCAATGAAATCGGGACAAGTTTGCCGATATAATTTCTTATAGTAAAGGTAATATATGATGGTATGGTTTCCACGTGCAATAAGAGGGTAGGGTTAGCTCACAAGGTAGTTCAGTCCCGCGAGGGGATCCATCAACAATAAATTCATTCAAGAAGAGTAGATGGTGCTATTTCCTTACGCTAGATTGGATTAGGAAAGATAAATTGTCTCTAGAACCCCTTGGTTGGTTCTAGGCAAAGCAATAAAAGAACAGATCTTTTTGGATAAGCTGTTGTCCCAATTCTGTTAGTAACTCTTTAGTCCTATCCCTACCAAGGAGGATCTCCCTTAAAAGATGCATAGCACTCTTGGGAGTTGGGATTCACACCAGGAAGTAGGGGAGACAAGGTTTAAGAACCTCAGTGTCAAGGTGCAGCCCAGAGGAAGCTGCTTGATAATCCAGTCTGAGCCTAGCAGGAAATAAGTGCTTTGTCGGTTGAAGGTCTCTCTGCATGCTTCTTTAATGGGAATCCCTAAGCTACTGGCTCCCTCTTACCAGGGATATGTGACGACTCAAAGGGGTCATCACCTGTTTTAATTAATTAATGTGCTTTCGAGGCCTTGAAAACCTCGTTCAGAGTCGCCTCGATTTGCGTGCACAGTCGGAGCGCGTAGCCGGAAAGCTTAAATGTGAAATTCTGTGAAAAATGCTAAATTTTGATGTTAAGATGAATAAATTTGACTTTGGTCAACATTTGGGTAAAGCGGACTCGGACCCCGTGACTTGAGGTCCCGGAGGATCCGTAGGAAAATATGGGGACTCGGAGCGTATGCCCCGAATCGAATTCCGAGGTCCCGAGCCCGAGAAATGAATTTTTGAAAGAAATTGTTTTTTTTCTGAAATTGTTAAGGAAATTGAAATGATATTTGATTGGAACATATTGGTATCGGGCCCCGTATTTTGGTTCCGGCGCTCGGTACAGGTCTTATATATAATTTAAGAATGTTTCTGTGAAATTTGGTGAAGAAACGGATGTCGTTTGACGTGATTCGGACCTAAATTAGAAAATTTGAGGTTTTATGAAGTTTGAAAGAATTTTTTGGATTTTGAGGTTATAATTCGATGTTTATGATGTTATTTTGGCGATTTGATCGAGTGAATAAGTCGTAGGATATTTTGAGGTGTGTCTATATTTGGTTTGGAGCCCCGAGGGCTCGGGTGAGTTTTGGATAGGCCACGGGTGCATTTTGAACTTCGAATAATTGCTGGTATTTCTGACCTGCAGGCTTCACATTTGCGAAGCCTGGTTCGCAAATCGGAATTGGCCTTTCGCAATTGTCGAAGTTAGCCCAGGTCTGCTCTTTCCTCGCAAATGCGACACAATTCTTCGCAAAAGCGAACACTCTCCTATTGGCCAGACCTCGCAAATGCGATCAATAGGTCGCAAATGCGATGCTGACTTCGCAAATGCGAAGGTCCGTAATTTTTGAAAGGTCGCGAATGCGAATATTTATTCGCAATTCCATATCTGAAGGTTGGGGTTCGCAATTGCGAACCCTGTTCGCATTTCCCATAACTGAGACCTGCATTTTTTACACTTAACCGATATTTAGAACTTCATTTTTCATATTTTCTCAAACCCAAACACACTTAGGCGATTTTTTAAGGTTTTCTTCTTCTCCAAATTCAATTGTAAGTCGATTCTTAACTAACTTCTTTCAATTCTTAGCATCTTTTAACACGATTTCAACTTCAAATCAATGATTTTCAATGGGGAAATTGGGTGTTTTGGGTAAAACCTAGGTTTTCAAAAAATTGGGGATTTGGACCTCATTTGAGGTCGATTTCAAAACAAATTACATATTTGAGTTCGTGGGGGAATGGTATCGGGTTTTTGGTTCGAATCTCTAGTTTTGACCATGTGAGCCCGAGGGCGATTTTTGACTTTTTGGGTAAAACTTTGGGAAAACTCATTTTCATGCATTGGGGTTGATTCATTTAGTGTTTATTAATGTAATTAAGTAATTTGTGATTAGATACGAGCGAATTGGAGGGGGAATCACGTAGGTAACGCTATGAATTGAGGTTTGAGTTGTATTCAAGGCATTGACGAGTAAGTGTTTGGTCTAAACCTTAGCTTGAGGGATTAGGAGTTGAGTCATATTTGCTATATGGTAATTGTTGAGTACGACCGTATAGGCATGGTGACGAGTATCTATACGTTGTGTCAAGCATGACGTGAGTCTATAATGTGATTGTTCATGATTTCGTTGAACAATCTATGCTTTAGAAGTGATTTCTATTTGTTGTGATAAGTTAAGGAAGTATTTGTGACTTTTGTACATTTTGGAGCGATGGCTCAAGTTATATTACGAATTTGTGAAAGATACGTGAGTTTGATCGAACTCTATGGGAGGCATTGGCTCAAGTGGTAAAGGATGAGTTGTGAAAATAAAAGTGAAAAGAGAAAGAGTTAATAAATTATTCCCTTGCAGAGATATTATTGTTTATTTTCGTTATTTCCCTTGCCAGCGATGTGGATATTATTGATGTTGTTCCTTGCCTGGGATTTAATTTATTGACTTGTTTTGGCTACCCTTGCCGGGATTCTTTATTGCAAATTTCCTTTATTTCCTTGCCCTATTGTTTGTGATGTTGTTTGGGTGAGGAAGAGCGTTAAAGCACGAAGGGTGATGCCGTCGCATTGTTTAGCTATTCGTGAGGAAAGAGTGTAAAGCACGAAGGGTGATTGCCGTGCACATTTTATCATATATTTGCTTTGGTGAGGAAAGAGAGTAAAAAGCACGAAGGGTGATGCCGTGCCGCACGATGTACCATTCTGTGCCTGTTATATTGATTCTTATAGGTGAGGACGAGAGTAAAAGCACGAAGGGTGATGCCGCGCACTTGTTCCTTGATTTCCCTGATTCTAGTTGATAATTGAGTTGTGTTGTTCTTTACGTTTATTTTACTGGATTTTTCTGTTGTTACTATGACTTTATGGTGATGTCATTGATTCCCTTGCCCTCAATTGCATTGTAATTGTTGCTTGGTGAGGAAAGAGTGTAAAGCACGAAGGGTGATGCCGTGCACGTTATTGCCGTTTGTTATGATTTTTGTTGTTGATCAGTTCTAGTGCATTAATTGTCTTATTCCACTATTACTGATCGTGATTCTTTTTATGTTGACATTTCCTTTATTGTGTTTACTTTGTTATTATTGGATCAAGTATCCTTGCGCACAATATGCCTTGAATATTATGCTATAATTGCTACATGTTTATGTGACTTAATTGCTACTTGACCTTTAGTATACTTAATAATAAATTGATGCCTAATGCTCCTTAAAGTCCATAATTAATTGTTGCTTTTGTCATTATTGTTTTCCTCAGTAAATCATAATTATCGTGTACTTGTGGTCTTATGAATTCGTATTAATTGTTGCGTTTGTTAGAGTAAACTTCATTTTGAAAAACTGTGGATATAATGATATGGAGCGGTGGTATGCTACCACGAGATTTAATAAAATGGGAGCGGGTGGGTACGCCTACCACGAGATTTAATGAGAATGGGAAGCGGGTGGTACGCCTACCACGAGATTTAATGAAATGAGAGCGGGTGGTACGCCTACCCACGAGATTTAATGAAATGGGAGCGGGTGGTACGCCTACCACAAGATTTAATGAAATGGGAGCTGGGGGTACGGCCTACCACGAGATTTAATGAAATGGGAACGGGTGGTACGCCTACACAAGATATGAGAAATGGGATCGGGTTTCACGCTTGCAACGAGTTGTGAACCGAGAGTGAAACCTGCCTTTGTTTTCCTTATTCCTTGTTAGAAGTTGAATTTTGGTTTCCTGGTAATTTTCTTGAGAACCTGCTTTATCTGTTATTTCCCCAAAGCATGTATCCCCTCCCATCTTTATTTGTTTTGTTTCTGCTTTACTTTCCGCTGTATATTATACAACTGCACAGGTTTATTTGGTGGTCTGGTCCTAGCCTCGTCCACTTACTTTTCGCCGGGTTAGGCTAGGGCACTTACCTGCACATGGGGTCGGTTGTGCTTGATGACTACACTCTTGTGCTCTTTTAGCACAGATCCAGGTAGCCGACAGCAGTGGTAGCTCGGGAGGCCAGCCTTCAGTCCTCTGAGACACCGAGTAGCCTCTTGCAGGCGTCCGCAGGCCGGTGTCTCCTCTATCTTTATTATATGATCTATATTATCTCTTGTAATTCGAGACAGACAGTGTTACTCTCTTTTCAAACGGTTTATGTTAGTAAATCTTAGTAGTTTGTGAATGTTGTGACACCGAGTTCTGGGTAGGGTATATGTGGATTTTCCTTATTATTTTGGTTTATTTCGTTTAAGTCTTCCGCTAAATTACGAATCCGCATTTTTTAATTATTTATTTCCTGCTAATTAAATTGGTAAAAATGGATTTAAAACAAAAGTTTTATGGATTCTAAATGGTGTGGCTTGCCTAGCTTCTACGACGTAGGCGGCCATCTACGACTCCTGAAGGTGGGAATTCCGGATCGTGACAAGTTGGTATCAGATGCTCTAGGTTACACTAGGATCTCACAACTCATACGGACAAGCTTAGTAGAGTCTAAGGGATCGGTACGGAGACGTCTGTATTTATCCCCACGAGGCTACAGAGTTAGGAAAAGTTTCACTTTTATTTCTTCCCGTTCGTGCGATTTGTGTTTCTCTCAATGCTAAATTAAAACCTTTTACTCTTACTTTTTGGCGAATGGAGAGGTCATGTACCGCTTCTTCGGCTGAGCAGTTAGCATAGACCAGTGATAGATCAGCTTCATCTTCGGAGGCCTTGAAGGAGCTAAAGGTATTCAGGGTGGAGGTAGAGATGATAGACAGAGGTGGAGGTAAAAGGTATTAGAGGTGGAGGTAGCAGATGCTAGAGGGGGAGGTAAAGATTAGAGGTGGAGTGAAGTATTGCTCTGGTATGTGGTAGAGAAGCTTCGATTTTTATTCTGGCGCAGTATCTGGTCTATAGCCTAGTGATTCTTTGAGTGCCCTGTTTATCTGTCTACGCCGGTGGGTGATTCTATTTGTGGTGGATTTGCGTCCATCTGTTCACGTATAGTGGTTATTGGAGGTTTTGAGACTCGTGTAGATTTGCTTCTTCTGGAGATGGTTGGTTTCGATGCTATATTGGAGATGGACTGGTTATCACCTTACCACACTACCCTTGGACTGTCATGCCAACGAAGACGTTGTGACCTTAGCTTTGCCGGGTAGATGCCTCTGGTTTAGAGTGCGAGAGGGAATCCTGGTTATTCTACCCGCAGCGTTATATCTTATGATGAAGGCTCAACGTATGGTTTGAGAAGGGGTGTTTTGGCCTATTTGGCATGTGTTCGTGATTCTAGTGCTAAGGTTTCCTTCCATTGATTTTGTGCCCGTTGTTCGTTGAGCTTCCTGAGGTTTTTCCCTTCAGACCTGCCGGTATAGCCACCTCGACAGGGATATTGACTTCTGCATTGATCTGGTTCCGGGCACTCAGCATTTCTATCCCACCATATCGTATGGCCCGTCGGAGTTGAAGGGAGGATAGAGGAACAGTTGCAGGATTTGCTTGAAGAGGGGTTTCATTAGACCTAGTGTTTTCGCCTTGGGTGCGTCGGTGTCGTTTGTCAAGAAGAAGGACGGATCGATGAGAATGTGTACTGATTACCGGTAGTTGAAAAAGGTTGCAATTCGAGGGTTACACTTGAGATCTGTTACCATCAGTTGAGGACTAGGGCATCCGGTGTCCCCAGGGACAGCTTTCCGCACTCGGTACAGGGCATTATGAGTCTCTTGGTTATGTCATTCGGGTTGACAATGCCCCAAGCCGATCTTATGGGTTTGCTGAACCGAGTGTTCAGGCCTTACTTGGACTCGTTCGTGATAGTCTTCAATTGATACATATTGAGTATATTCCCGCAGCCAGGAGGAAGCACGACGCAGCACTCTTAGAGTGGTTGCTTCTAAACATTGAGGATAGTCGGTTATATGCTAAGTTCTCGAAGTGGTGAATTCTTGTGGGTTCAGCCGTGCAATTTCTGGGTTTCATGCTTGTATCAGCAGAGGGTATTCAGGTGGACCCTAAAAAGAATCGAGGCAGTTCAAGACTGGCCTAGAACATGCATCGTACAGGAGATCGGAGTTTCTTTCTGG